GTTTGGAGAGCGAAATCCACTGGTCACCCGTAGCCATTAGGAAAATGAGATGGAGGGGGTTGCAGAAAGGAAGGCATTAGCAGAAAGGAAAATTAATAGAATTATTTGAGGGTATCTGGTTGCTCAGCTCACGTGGATGAACGTTATGATACAGAATAACAACAATATTCTCCCGTTCCCTGGTAGACATCCACCCGGGTACCTACCAAGGGGCAAAAGGATTAAAAGGTAACCAAAAATAAGGCAGTGAGTCTATTACAGCAACCTGGTAGTGCTTCTGTGGGGCCAGCATTTATTTCATCAGTGCTTACGGAGACCCAAAAGGAGTTTCCTTCTGCAAGCGAAATCAAAGCCGAGGCAACCGGGGCTTCGGGGAGCGCGTTTATGTAATCGGGAACCGGAGACAGGCTTTCCAGGGAGGGAGCTGTTTTTGGGGGAAGGAGCTGATTAGAGTCTCCGTTTTCTGCTTTTAAAAGGGCTGTAATATCTTTGGGAGCACTAGTACAGTAGCCTTTTTATTTGACGTGGATTTCTGCAATGGTAGTTCTCACTGCCAAGCGTGGAGTAGCTAGATTTAGAATAAAATCTCATGCTTTAAGAGCCTGTGAGGAAGAAAAATGGGTGAAGGAGTGCTACTAAATATGAAAAGAAGTCCGGTTAAATTGATTAAAACCTCCTATCCTTGCAGTAATTTGTTGAGGTTTTTGCCTTGTGTTCTAGCCAGGGAAGAGCAGTGAAATCCTTCRGTGTCCTGAGTTGTGTTTGCTGTGGTGAGCACAGTTTGTGTTGTGGAATTGCCTTTAGGGAACCTAGAGAGCCCAACCTCCTGCCATCACACTCATAGCGATGTTTATYTTTTCCAGAATTTCAGATTTTTCTTCCAGTTTTCTCCATTTCAGAGGCCAATAGATACCAGCTCCTTTCCCTGAAATGCAAAATCATTTCTGGAGAGGTCCTCTGCTCTGCATCCACATGTTGGTATATTTTCACAGGGTAAGAAATTATGAGAAAGAAAGCCTGTATAATAAACAGCCTGTATAATAAACATAAAAAACAACCTTGATCTCAGTGAAGTCCCAGCATCAGGGCAGCTGCTATTTCCCATTAATACAAGAAGCTTCTTGACAATTTTTTGCCCCTTGCTTTGATGTGTTGGAGCAAAAACTGAGTGGCTGCTGGTATCCAAGACTTRTTTCCTCCAAATGTTTTATTCTGCCTTTTTTTGTGATTATTTTTAATCTGTGTTCTCTAAGCTGCATTGTCCTATTCTGCTTGTGTGTGTTTTTTTTTAAATAACTTTATTTGTAGCTGTCAGGGATGTTTTAGGAATAAGTTGTCAGCCATCCCTAAGAGCTTCGCTGCAAACATATTAAAAAAAAAAAAAAGTATTTCTAAGACTATGAGAGGGAGATTGTTTGGTTCATCCCCCTTGGTTTGGTTTTGGAAGATAAATAATAAAGATGATGAATGAGGTGTTAAGTGGAGCCAAAGTGGTGCATGTTCCTTTGCATAAGCAAAGGGTGGTAGGAATTTCAGGGTCCCTTTTGTGCTCTGGTGCTGCTGTGTTTCCCAGCCTTGAACTTTGCAGTTTGTGCAATTCCAGCAGCTGGTGGATGTAGCTTAAGGTCTGGTTATGTTTTAAGTAGCAACACTGGTTGGTTTTATGTTAGAAAGATACAGATTATTTAAACTAGAGCTTAATGCAGCTCTAGCTATATTAAAACTTGGTGTTGAATTGAAAAAAAGAGATGGGGAGAAACAATCCTGCTGGGTGTTTCCTGCCCCGTGTCCCCCATGGACAAATTGGCGTGGGCTCCTGGTGAGGAGCCCTGAGGTGGAGCTTTGCTCTCCTCTCTCCACCTCCTTACGCAGGCGAAACGATATCGCAAGGGATAATTAAATCTGGTGAAATGTGATTCCCTGAGCTGCGAGGAGTAATTGCCAGAGGGCTGGGAGTGCAATAATTGATTCTGGTCCTTAGCAGCTCTCCAGAGCAGGCCGTTTGCTGGTGGTCTGGAAGGCTCTGGGCTCCCTTGCGTTTGGCTTCAAACACGTTACTGCCTTCGAGGAGCTCAGCTGTGAAACCCCGAGCACGGGGTTGTGATCCTGCCCGTGCCCACGGGGGTTACCCTCAGATAATRTGGGTTACCCTCAAATTGGTGGGTGCTTGGGCTGAAAAGAGTCTAGTAGTAGCTAACCAAGTGTGTCTGCAAAGGGGATCCTCGTTGGCTGCTCTTAAGCKCTGTCCATACTTCCTCATCTTGCCTTCTCCTGTGCAGTACGTGCATGTGCCAAGTGCCCGTCTTGTATTTAAGGAGTCCACTGCATTAAATACAATTAACCAAAGGAATTTACAATCAGTTAATTAGATCTTTTTAACAGGGGAAAAAAGCTTTTCCTTCTGMACACCCTGTTTTCCCCAAACCTTGATACAGATGTCAGAGAGAAACAGTGCCGCTGCACATCAAAGCAGAAAGCCATTTGTATCTCCTTTTCCACGTCTTATTTTGCTTTTCTCCTGGGAGCAGCTGATATTAGATGACCGGAAAGTGTCTTGTGCTGCGGAGGTAGCTCCGCTGGGGTTAACACATGGATTGTTTTGCACCAATACTGGCACAGAAATAGTTTAAAAATAAAAATTGCATGTTTCCCTCCAAGTTCACGAATGCCATTTAGAGCTGGAAGAGTGTGAGGATGCCTGGTCAGACCTATAGGGTGATCAGCGTAAGGTATCCGTGATGAAGCTGTTAAGGGCCCACTTGACCACAGCAGGAGATGCCTCCTTCTCCAGGCCAACCCCCCGGGAGCAGAGTGGTCCTTCCTGAGCAGCTGGAGCCCCAAGGTCCTTGTGGTTGCAAGGAGCTGGTTTATGTAGATGGGAGCAGGCGATATGTGAGTGATCATTACGCTGTGTCAAGTCTCATTTGAAAGGCCATAAGTATGCCTTTTTAGAAGAAAAACAAACCTTGTCACRAGCCTGGAGAGAAACATTAATCATGTATTTTTATCACCTCCAAAGGCTGCTGGAAGATGAGCTCTAATATTTCAAATGCGACAAGCAATCTATAGCCATGAATCACAATTTGAGTTCCATTATGGCTGAGCTGATATATACCACTGCGTGCTGTATGGATTTTACTCTTAACAATATTAAATAAAGGCCCAAAGCTTTTTGTCATGAATGCCTAACCTTTTACAAGAGTTTATAGAGCTSCAGACCAAAAAAAGAGGAAAAAACCCACAGCTTTATCGTTGCCCTACAGCTTTAGTGAGAAAATACTGCTGGTTTTTGACGTGTCAGTGTTGGCCTCTGTCAAGGAGGTGCATCTRTTAGCACCAGGTTAGTACTGCAAAGGTAGCAGAAAATGTGAAATACTGTGTGGAAAATGTATAGAGGAAGCTTGGGAAAAGGCTTAGGTAAATGAGCCAAGTTTGGAGATGTTTTGTTCAGCCTGATTTCATTGGTAGGGCCAGGTCGTCGCTTTGAGTCCATAGCTTTTCCCTTGGAGAAATTCAGCTACGGAGGTGTTTTCCTATTTGACTTACAGGAGTGAATTTCCATTTTATCCTCGGGACTTGTCCTATTTTGTATTATAGTACTAGGTTTTGCCAGCAATGGAGACAAATTCAAGCGCCTTCACCTTGGAGACTTGTAATCCCCCTGCTCCCGTTTGGGGGAAGAAAGGGGAGAATTGGTGCACTGAATGTGTCCGCTGAATTCAGTGCGGGAGCTGGAGGCAGAGCACAAGAAGTCAGGTTAATTTTCAGGTGAATTGGCTGCCGGTTTGTCATTCTCCCTTTCTTTTCCTGCCTCTCTCTGCTCCCTTTTATGCCACCAAATTACTAGCTCTGCAAGAAGGAAAGCCCTCCAAGCTGCACACGGAAAGCCCATTAAAAAGAGGCTGCGAGCGGAGCAGCGTGAACACACGTCGACACCTGAGWGTTTCCCGAGCGGCTCCGGCGCTCGGTGCTGTGATAACAAGAYGTGGGAGGGCTTTTCTTGGCTTTTAGCCCTCGTAGATTGATGCTCCTGACTCTTTAAAATCCATTTCAGCAAGTGGCACTGCCGCAGAAACAAGGGGAGAGCGGGAAGGGGCCGGTTGAAGGTGTTTGGGGGGGTATTTAGTCCTCTGCCTCCAGGCCATCGCTTCTCATTCAGCCCAAGTTAGTGGCAGGMACAAATCACTGCCAGTTTTTTGGCCAACGGGGCCTGATTTTAGCTGCTTCCCCTGGACTGATGCCCACAGCACAGGAGGAGCGAGCGGAGCTGGCAGCGGGTTTCCCTTTTGGAGCCTGGAAAAGGCGACTGTGGCTTTACCGCCGTTATTCCTCTTCWGGGTGCTCCTCATGGTCCTGAATTAAGGCAGGGCAGAGTGCGCAGCTCAAATCAGGGGAATCTTCCTGAGGGAAAATCAGAGCTCGCCGGGGGCTGCCCTGGTTCTGGCACTGCTCTGTCCTGGTGTTTCAGCTCCGTAAGGAGCAGCCGGCACCGTCTCCACGGGTGCAGAGGCACCCACAGCATCACGTCGAGGGGACGGGTCCCTGTGGTCCACAKCAGCGTTGCCAGCGGATGCCTTTTCCAGGCCCTGAGCCCTTGGTAACAAGGAGAATGAAACAGGAAAACAAACAAAGTTAGATTCTTTCTTTTGCTTGGCCATAAGTAAAACTAGAAAGAAAAAATTGAAAGCCATGGATTACCCTGTGTAAAATCAATGCCACTGAGTGGAACATCTATCCTGATCAGAATAAAAGAAAATGAAAACTTCAGGGTAACTTCTGCTCGTGTGAGGAGGGAAAGGGGAGGTGTTTCACAGTTCACAGTGTTGTGGAGCTTTCTGATATTTAAACAGGCGAGTAAATGATGGTTTGGATTCCGCTCTCTGGGAAAACTATAATTTTGGCTTTTAGATTTGCAGCGAGAATAGAGGTGGCTGCACAAGGGGCCAAGCTCGTAAACGCAGAGCCTGACGGGGCCTCTCCCTGCTTCTCCTTCCCCGCAGACATCGACGAGTGTGCTGCCAAGATGCATTACTGCCACGCCAACACCGTGTGCGTCAACCTGCCCGGCTCCTATCGGTGCGACTGCGTCCTGGGCTACGTCCGCGTCGATGACTTCTCCTGCACAGGTGAGCTCCGAGGTGCACTGCACCSGTGTTGCTGTCCTGTGTGCGTGATTTGTCTTCTAATGAAGCCAGGAGATGAAGGAAAAGTCACTTTTCTGGTTTTTTGGATGTGCAGGAGGCCTGGGGGATGTGTGTGCCCAAGGACACGGTCCCCTGTCGTCCTACAGTGGCCTCGTATGTGAGGTGCCCATAAAATTAGTCTGCTGTCTAGGCCTGCTGCGCCCATCCCCTCACTTCACGTCTTGGTTAGTGCCTCCGTGTGAGACTAGGACTTGTCCAGGCCTTTGCATCTGCTTGGTTTTTAGCAAGGGCCTGGAGTTCCCACACTTGGTGAGGAGAAATAATGTGTTAATACCTGTCGTTTGAAGCTGGTCAGTGGTTTGAAATATCAAAAATGATCYGTGAGGGAGAGCTTTGTGGACAGGCCCAAGAAGGGAGCGAAAATGAAGATGTGGGAGTTCCTCAAAAGGTTTTGTTGCCTGATAGGTTGGAAAGTTGCTGTGTTTAATGCTGAGCATTAATGCTCCCGGGACTATGGCATGCATTATGAGAATAAGTGCAATAACATTAGGCARTAAATCTAGCGGTTTTTAAGTATCTATCAATAAAACGAGCTCTAAAAAATATTATGGGGAGGTAGATGTCTCATTTCCGTGCACAGGTTCTTAAGGRACCTTCCCAGGAAGTTTCTGGAGGAAACACGAGGAGCTGCTGAAATGCTGCGCCCAGCGATACCGAAGCTGATAACATCTTTCAATCACAGGGCTCCGAAAAGACTGAGCTCAGGGTTATTTCCCTGGTGAACCTGTCTGGCAAAGGAGGGACAAATCAGTTGGATTTATKGAAAGAGAAATAAGGGAGATGGGCACAAAATCGGGTTTAGAGATGTGCTGGGCAAGCTGCTCTCCCAAGGGGAAGGGTGGCCAAGGAGCRTTTAATGTGAGAAGGATTTCTAGCCTGGAATAATTATGCTGTAGTACGTAATACCCTTAAAAAAGATCTATTTTCATGATGAGGTATGTCTTAGAATTTGGATCAATCAGGTAGTTTATRAAAGCTTTAGGAAAGTCCAACTTGTCTCCTGGGACACTGGTACTGAACAGCTGTCAAAGAACTGCTTTGTGTTTTGGGTAGATGTTCTCTCTTCCCAGATTATTTCTTGTGTTTTCTGAGTAGATTTCAGAGTTTTTCATGGTCTTTTCCAACCTGCTGTGCCAGARAAGTTTCAGACCTTAGATTTTGTTCTCGGTGCGTGTGCTGTGCGTGCCGGCTGCTTCCACAGGGATGGCAAAAACATTTCTGGGGACCTGACACTTGTTTTCCTTGGGCACGCCACTGATTCCCTGCAGCTCCGTTCCTTGCAGCGAGGCAGCATCATTAGGCATGCAAATGGTTTAGAAAGCCAAGTATTTGTGATTTACAGCAAAAGTGTGAAGTAATAAGGCAGGTGCTTGACAGTAATGGGTGAACATTCATTTAATGTGCATGCACGGAAAAACAACAACAAAAAAGCCGTCTCAGGGAAAATAATGGAATGAGTGAGATAAATATTTCTTGCAGTTTTCATTGTCTTGCTTGAAATGACTTTTTCAGCGTTGCAGTTAGAAGGCACAGCAAGTGTTTARCACACTTGAAGAGAAACTTGGTTCATTGCCTGTTTTACTAGAAATAACAGCACGTTAAATGCATATAATGAAGTACTTGCACAACGGAAGGCCTCGTTCTGCTTGTGTACTTGAATTATATTTGCAGAAACTTCTCTCGTGATGGAAAAGACTGGAGAAAAAAAAAAGGCAGGTAGGAAATACTTAGCAGATAGGAAATACTTAGCTAATTTTAGCTAGTTTTAGCTAATTYTCCTTTGTGCTGGCTCTCAAGTATAGCAGGCACAAGTCAAATACTTAGAGCTGATGCCCAGCTTTTGTTGTTATTGATCCAAGCAAAGGGAGGGAGCTGTTGTTGCTGGACCATGTATTGGGGACAACCTGGGAGCCCGAGAGGTGTTGGCTTTGGGGTGACATCCGAGCCCTGTGCACGGTGCAGGGCTTTTCAGCCAGCAAAGGCAGATGGCTTCACATTAAAGGTTAACCAGCCTCCAGAGCAGGTGCTTTAGGCCTGTGCCCAGCCCAGCACGTGCTCTTTAGACTAAAGGCAGAATTAACTGCACGGAGCAGGAGGCATCAGGACACTTTTGGGAGCTGCTTCCAGCCTGGGACCGGCTGCTGTTCCCTCCCGCGGGAGCAGAGCTGGTGTCCCGGGGCAGGCACTGGTTTTGTTCCCAAATTGCATGAAGTTTTTATCATTTTAGAAAAGAAACGGCCTCAAGTATTTATTTTCCGGGCATTTCAATAAAGATTTATTCACTGTAAATGAGGATCTTTTATTTATACATAAAAATTATAGTAGATGTAATGCTGAAATAAATATAATAAATATAATAATTGTAATAAATAAGGATCTTATTCACTTCTAAGGGGTTTTTAACCTCATTTTGCTTGTTAAAAGATAAGTTCTGGATTGCTTTCCTCTACTATACTGGTCTGGATGCAGGAGCTGGCATCGGATGTGCGCTATGCTTTCTTTTAAACTTTTTTGAAATACTTTATGAATTGTTATAGATCTGGTATTTTTGTCTCTGCATCTTCTAGTATTATTTTAGATATATTTATGTGTATGTGCATATATTTTTGCATAGTTTGCAGCTACTGTATCTCTATCTCCACCTTCCGCCTGTTGGAAACTCTGAAGTCTAATCCATCTCCACCCTTCCCAGCCAGTACCGAATCACAGCTTCCTAAGATAAAACAGTGCTTTAAATTACCTGTAATAACTAGGTAGGCTGTGCTCATAGGAGAGCAGACAGGGTAGATTGGTATCATCTTTATGTATTGGTCRCTATATATTTGTGTCATCTTTATGTATGTAGCCAGTCAAGGTGATGCTTCTTGGTCTATACAAATCTATGATGATTATTTTGAAAATAAAGCCCCTTTTCTGCAGTGTTTTCTGTAGGTATGCTTGGGACACTAAAATCTCTTTAAAATCCTGCAGTCAATTCAGGAGGAAGGTGTTGGGTTCTTGTAGTCCCTTTTTTGTTACTGTAATTAGGATGATTTCATTTGGGGTTGTATTTTTTTAAGATTTCCTACAAATAGTTGCTAATTCTGCTTTTAAGCCTTACCAAATGACTATTGTAAAGGATTTTTATTCCTCTAGATGCATAAATGACTCCTGCTAATGTTGCAAACTGAAGAAACTCTGGGTGATCGTGTTCCTGGAACTTGTTACCTTGAGCTTTTCAGAGCAAGGAGCCACTAATCATACGGTACCTGCAAAAATCAAACCCTCATCTGTCATTCCAGAATACGTTAATAGCTAGTTTCATACTGAGGAAAAATTGACATTATGTAGAAGTGTTGTTTAGAAGAAGTGTTAGGATTGAAATGCTTCTTAAGATGCAGTTCTTAATATAACTGGATTTATGGGATGGGGGGACTAGAGGAAGTAGCAGAGCCTCGTGATTTTGAAGGATTATCCCCTAAAAGCTCCTTGGCTTCTGTGTGGTTTGGTTTCTGGTGTAGATTTTGGAGTTTATTGCACCTTTCAGAATGAGTCTTCCTGTAATAAGGACTGGGCTTAAAGAYGGGAAAAAGTGGAGCTTTGTGAAAGCTAGAAATCCATGAAAAACTCACCCACCCTCTCCTGTTCTCCTTCCCTAGTCCATGGAAGTTGACATCCAGCAATTCCACCCTGTGATTATCGCTGGAACTGTTCCAGTTGTTTGCTGTCACTAAAGCTGATGCCTTTCAGACCGCTGTAGTTTGTTCATGGTGGTGCCTTTGATCCGGGCATGATGCTAATAAGAGAGGTGAGGTGACAATCTTTGCTGTCACGTTCCTGGCCTGTCCACCCAAACTGCTGTATGAGCTTGGAAAGGGATAGGGGCTTTTGGGCAGCCAGCTGATAATACAGTTGCTCTTCCAAGGAGAGTGCTCGTGGTGCAGTCTGTTCTACTGAACCTCTCTTCCATCTCTTCCTCGAGCTAMATTAGCATCCAGGGATGAAACAGGAATGTTTTTGGTGTGGCCTTGGACTTGGAAAGTGCTGAGCTCAGTAAGCAAATCTTCACGGCCTAAAATGAGTGACTTGCTAGCAAGCAAGGTTATGGATCTGGACCTCCTGATTGATATGTGGCTACTAAATGCATTTAAAAATTAAACCACCCTGAGTGGGCAATGCTGTGGTTGTACTAACAGGGTAAAACACTCTTCTATGGGCACTTCTTTCCAGAGAAATACTCTTCTGTGGGCACTTCTTTCCAGAGATCCATGTGCCAAGTGCTAGAATGGATGGGACTTGGTTCCTTCTGTTATGTAGCCCTTGTCCTTGGATCATGGTTGGTGGCATCTCTGCTTGCAGGACTGGCAAGAAAAACACTGTTTGGGTCCCGGAGCCTTAAAGTTCAGATGACTTTGTTTTGCATCCCTGAGTGGGTGGTTGGTCGAGCGCAGCAGCARCATCTAATCTGTGCACCAAAAAAGCCAAGAGCGTTGAGACAATCCGGCAGAAGGAAAAAGCTGCCAACCCCTGTCAGGTGGCTGATACTTGCATAGGTCTTGACTCAAGGCCCATTAACCCAATGGAGAGCCTTCAATCATGCCCATTTTGGCTTCAGCTGTGTCCCTTAGTGAGATAATTAGTGTCCTCTTGCTAAGGGAAACTTTGTTTTGAATAATACCAAGCAGGGCAATTTTTTGTGCTGTTTCCATGCTGTACCAGCATGGAAATAAGGTAGCTTCTCAATGCATCCCAAGCTGACCAATATGTATTTTAATTACTGTTTTGGGAAAGAGGAAGCTGAGGCACGGTGMAATGCAGGATCTTGCCTGAGTTCATGTGGAGACAGTGACAACATGAAGAGGCTGAAAATCAAGTCAAAAATTTAGGTGTGGGACAAGCGTGGACTCGCACAAAGAAGGATTCCATAAAGAGTCTATTTTTAA